CGCTATGAACTAAACTGGAACCTCTGCTAATTCCACCACCAGAACAAACAAACCACAACCAAGTGAAAACAACGCAGATACAAAATACCTAGAAATGCTAGGTTAAATGTAACAAATATCCTTTTCAATACCTATTTGAGGTCAGAAAAAGATCAAGGAAATTTCCAGGGGTCACAAATGGAAAGGGAGCTGGAAATGGGAGTTGTAAGCAAATGCTGAAGCTACTGCCATGGGGGAGTATTTGCCAATCTGGTAACTAGATGCTTGGATTGGCCCGGTGAGCTTGGTAAACAATGTCTTGGGGGCCCATGCAAGTAGGGAGACAAAAAAGAGAACTCCACATAGTTCCAAGACCCTCAAAGGGCTACGTCCTCTGGGAAAGGGCTGAATAGAAGAAAAAAAAAAAAATCTGACTTTTAGCAAAGAGAAATAATAAGGAAATTTGTCTTTGCCATTGCTCTGAGTGGGGGGAAAAAATAGCTTCCAAGACCTTGTAACCACACATCTCCACTTGTATGGGTTTGGAGTTTGAGGTTTGAATCAACACTGAGTTTTTTATAGTGGAAAACTGGAAACAAAGGAAATGTCATCATCAGAAGAATGGATAAAGAAATTATCTATTCATTAAATAGCAATGAAAATGAATGAGCTGGCGCTATGGTGGTCGACGTGGAGAGATCTCACAGTGTTGAGTGGCAAACATGAGCTGCGGAAGGGGACATACAGTAAACCAGTGCCAGTCTTAGACTGGGGCAAGTTGGGCCCCTGTCCTGGGTCCTCCTGTCTAGGTGTCCCTGCACTTTGGAGGGACTCCTCCACCCCGCCTCTCCAGTGCCTGGGCCCAGATCTCTGGGCAGGGCATTCTGAGCTTAGGCAGAGACCATGGACTTGCCCTCTCCCACAACCTACTGCACAGCATGTAAGGTTGACCAGAAGCCTGGAGGCGCTCTGGACTGTGCCTCCTTGGGACTGAGGGCAGATGGCTCCTGTTGGCTGAGCTTCATAGAGCAAGACTGGGCTGCCAACAGGGTGGTGACACACAATTTTGGGCAACTCAAGGACCCCGCAAAAAATATTTGCCCAGGACCCTGCACATCTTGGGGCAGCCCTGCAGTAATGTATTCAGATGGGGCTTTAAAATGTACAAAATAATACCTAACTAGCGTTTAGTAGTATATACACGCTTAGTAAAAGAACATGGAAATGAGGACACTCAATTCAAGACAGGAGTTGCTTCTTGAAGGGAGAGAGGAGAATTAGGGTTACACTGGGAACTATTTGAATTTATTTCTTAAAAGTTGGTGGTGGGGAGTAAAAGGTATTGATTGTATGCCTTTTTACATCTTTCCGTATGTTTGAAATATTTCATTTAAAAAAAAAAGGAAGAAAGAAAGAAAAGAAAAGAAGCCACTTGAGCCCCTCCCTGCTTTGGTAGGGGCTGGCGGGTGTGAGGGTGGACTTCAGTGGTGGCAGCCACACTCTTGGAGGGGTCGTGCATCCTAGTCTCTACCTTTTCCCTTGAGAAGACCCCCCTCCTCTGCACTTTCCCTCCGTCTTAGCAGTTTAGTGTGTAAACAGATTCTTGTGTGACTCACCAGTGCTTTTGCTAATCCCTTCACCAGCAAATACTTGTTAAACACTTAAATCTTGCAAATGGAAAGGAAATTCCACAGTAAAGTTAAGTGTAAAAGTCATCCAGAATCCTGCATCTTGGACAAGACTGGTGAACAAATAGTTCTATATTGAAACTTAATATATTAAATTTAATCATAGGAAACTTGTTGCTTGGATATGAATCTTAAATATTTAAATGTAGGAGTTTTCACTTGGTGATTGTTTCTAGTCTCCTGTGATACTGATACGTGGACAGGGAAGAAACCTCTTAAGATAAATAAACCGCACTGGGAAATGGGCCCCTTGCTAAGTTCCCTTCTGGAAGTGACGCCTCCCTATACTGCAAACATTTTCTCCTCTGAGTGGTTTCAGTTCCAAGCCAAACCAGTTCTGCAGCATGCTTTTGTACCTTTCCAGAATCGCTTGCCAGGGCTTTAAAACCCCTTTGCGTCTTTCATTACTTAAAAGCTTCTTTTGAAAGCCTTTGAGTGAATCATCAAATTAACATCTAAAAAGACTTAGCGGCAATTGAGCCCAGGAAGGCTGGGGGCTTCTAACCAAACACACCATAACAGACCTTCGTAAGAGCAGTTGGACTTGGGAAGGGGCTTTGCAGGTGGAAAAAGGGCAGCTGCTGGGAGGTGGAAGCACCCAGGCAGGGGGTAGTAGGACCCCCGGCCTGAGCCCCTAACTCCCAACTCCCTCCCCCTGCCAGTCCCCTGCTTTCCCCCATGTTCTCACGACTGCTGATCAGAGGGCAACCCTCCCTCTCCTTTGTATTTAAGACTTTCTCTGGCTCTGCTCTAAGCAGGCATCAGCAAAGGTTTAACAAAAGAATGAGGGCTTATTTTAGCTACTTTCACTTCTCTAAATTTTTCATGGTTTCAGTTAGGTGTAAAATATTCTTGAATTTATATTTTCGATTCTGTTTCTAACATGTTCTATACAATGTTAGTAGGTAGATATTTTCTTTTTAATGAAAAAGAAGAGATTGATCTTAGGATTCAAACTCAAAATATTTGATTAATCAGGATTTAGTTTAGATTTCAAGAACACTGCTGTGAGGTTTTCTACTTTTTTGGTTTTGCCCTAGATTTTCCTTTATCTCTTTTGTCTCCTATATCTTTCCCACTCTGTGGACCCCTGAGAAGAGGGCTATGAGGACTGAAGAAAGGCATTTATCATTAGCCTGATTTCTGATTATTGAGTTTCTTGCGTACTTAACCCTCAAGAAAAATCTGAGCATAGCGCTACCTTCAGAAATTCAGGTAACCCGGTGGGAGCGAGAAGAGTAAATCATGTTTCTCCTTTTCCCTAAACCTTCTTATATATCATGGTTTCTAATGCTCATGCCAAAAATTGTAGCTTGCAATTTGGAAGTGGAGGTGTTGCAGAGGGAGGGGCCCGTCTCTCGTGGGGGCTCTAGCAGGTAGATACCTGTCTCCCTGTGTGTGCATTTTTTTTTTTTTTTTAAATTTTTGGCTGTGTTGGGTCTTTGTTGCTGCACGGGCTTTCTCTAGTTGTGGCGAGTCGGGGCTAATCTTTGTTGTGGTCCGTGAGCTTCTCATTGCGGTGGTTTCTCTTGTTGCGGAGCATGGGCTCTAGGCATGTGGGCTTCAGTAGTTGTGGCACGTGGGCTCAGTAGTTGTGGCTCACGGGCTCTAGAGCACAGGCTCAGTAGTTGTGGCGCACGGGCTTAGTTGCTCCATGGCATGTGGGATCTTCCAGGACCAGGGTTCGAACCCGTGTCCCCTGCATTGGCAGGCAGATTCTTT